AACAACAACAACCCAGTTGGATCCCACTACAGTAGGGTCTGGGGAGGGTGTGTGTACGCAGACCTTGCCCCTACTTGGAAGCAGGGAGGCTGTTTCCAAGAGACCCCCGGCTCAACCTGCACAAAAAATATGATAGGGTATACAGTATAGCATGGATAAAACACCAAGTACAATGAAAAGAAAGTTCTACAAGCATTAATAGAAGATTCCAATCAAACACAACACACTACAAAAAACCTCTATAGCACCGAGTTCCTAACCAGCTACTCTAATCCTAGTTCTCCAAAGGTTCCTATCTAAAGCCATATCCTCAGTCAGGGTGAGAAGTCCTAAATCCTGTCTAATCACTTCCTCCCAATTCTTCTTAGGTCTACCCCTTCCCCTACTTCCCCCGAAAACCGTAATCCGCTCGCATCTCCGTACAGGGGCGTCAGCATCCCGCCGTCTCACATGACCAAACCATCTCAACCTCGCTTCCCGCAATTTATCTTCCACCGACGCCATGCCTACCTGACGTCGGATAACTTCGTTCGAAATCCTATCCAACCTTGTCTTCCCACACATCCATCGTAACATCCGCATCTCCGCCGCATGCAGACGACGCACATGAGTCTTCTTAATCGCCCAACACTCTGCCCCATATAACATAGCAGGTCTGACTACGGATCGGTAGAACTTGCCTTTCATCCTGGGTGAAATCTTTGGGTCACACAATACCCCTGAAGCCAACCGCCATTTGGCCCAAGCCACTCTAACACGATGTCCAACATCCCCGTCTAACTCCCCATCAGCCTGGATTACCGAGCCAAGATATCGAAAAACATTTTTTTTTCTGTTGATGGGGTGCCGTATGAATTTAACATTATCTAACAAATTAGAGAACATGAATTGGAAACCCATTAGCAAGCAAGTTTAAACACATAAATTTTTGTTAGGGTTAGAAACTACTAATCTGATCTCAATTTCATATCTTACGGAACGAAAATAGAATTGATTAATCAACATAAAGCTCTGATACCACATGTTGATCAATTCTTAAACATAAAATATAAATTAGGGATTTAATCATGTGTACCTGATAATCCTGTAAACGTGGTTAGGGATGAGGCCATGATTCTCACGCAGATCGAGTTCCCGTTTAGGGTGTATCGTTATGATGGCTAAGGTGAGGAAGACTCACGAGAATAGAGAGGCAGAGAGGAAGCGTAAGATTGGTGTGTTGATCTCTGCCTAATGACCTCTATATATATACACCCAAGGGGAAACCCTAATTAGGTCATAAGGGTAATTACGTCCATCGAATAATTACCAATTAAGTACGTAGGGTATTTATTAGGTCAATGATTAATTAATTAGATAAATGATAACTCAGGCCACATAATAAAATCGTGTCTAACAGATGCTTCTGTCAACTCTAGACGGGAACAAAGTGGATCCAGATTGGCAGACTTGGGAGTGAACTCCAGCTTCAATAACATTGAAGTTCTAGATGAGAGAATGGAAGCGATTCTTATAGCTAACCATTCCGCGGGAGTGTTCGGTGATGCATCTGAAAGTACAGGCCAAGAATTAAGAGATGGGTATCAAAATGCCCAGAGTCAGGACCGTGTGGGAATTACTGATACAATTGAGTCTTCTTCACAATGTCAAAGAGTGTCACCCACTGGGCATATCTTTACTGATTCTATCATAGAGCAAAAGGATCTGCCATTTGAAAATTGCGGGTTGAATTCCAACAGTATAATGGCATTGCCATCTGAAAACAAGGACACCACTTCTCAGATAGATCATTCAGCAGAATCACCAAGAGATGTGTTTGAGGATCTCGTTTTAGAACAGACACAAGAAACTCCAAAGTCTACAGTTGAAAATCCTAGCCATCCATTGGATCATAGAAGTAAAATTAATGGAAACATAGATGAAATAATGGCGGTAGAATCTATCTGTAAAGAGGATTTGCTTCTCTGTGGCGATGCTTCTGTCAACTCTAGCCTGGAGCAAAATGGATCCAGACTGGAAGGCTTGAGAGTGAACTCCAGCTTTAATAAATTTGAAGTTCTAGATGAAAGAGGGGAAGCGATTCCTATAGCTAATTCGGTGGTAGTACTGGGTGTTGCATCTGAAAGTACAGGTCAAGAATTAAGAGAAATGTATAGAGATTCAAATGTAAATCCTAGTCAGTTAGAATGTGGAGATGAAAGCCATTCTGGGCAATCACGGAAAAAGATATCTTCTTTGAGATCACTAGTAACCAGTACTAGAGTATTGCGCTCAAGAACACAAGAAAAGACTAAATCTCCAGAAACAACAAATGTTTCAGCAGCTGATAATTCCAACAAAGAAAAGAAAAGAAAAAGGGGGAAAAGAAAGCAAAGGAAACAGATTGCTGCAAATGAATTATTGGGGATAAAATCCCATCTAAAATATTTGGTCAGGCGAATACAATATGAACAAAGCTTAATTGATGCTTACTCCGGTGAAGGCTGGAAAGGTCAAAGGTCTGTATTCTCCCAATCCATCTTGTGACAAGGCAAAAGATTAAATGTTTTTCATTTCAAGTTTTTCAATCTATTTATAGATCTGCCATTTGAGTTTCCTCTTTTTCCTTTTCAGCTTAGAAAAAATAAAGCCTGAGAAGGAGCTTCAACGTGCAAAATCTGGGATTTTTCATTACAAGCTGAAAGTAAGAGAATTATTTTCACGCATAGATGCATCACTTTTTGAGGGGCAGTTCCCAGAATCATTGTTTGACTCAGAGGGGCAGATTGATAGTGAAGATGTAGGTGATATTATTTATGTTTTATTTATCCAATTTGGTTTAAATTTGCGTAATCTTTTCATCAGTTGCACAGCAAAAGAAATATTGATGTAATAGAAAATGATTCGTTCTTATTGCAGATATTCTGTGCGAAGTGTAGCTCTAAGAATGTGTCAGCTAGTAATGATATTATCCTCTGCGACGGTGCTTGTGAGCGTGGTTTTCACCAGAAGTGTTTGGAACCACCT